CAAATTTCCGTTTCGTTGGGATCTCATTAATCGAAACGCTGATGAATCGTCGTCTCGGTTTACACTCACTTTTGAATGCGGCAACTATGGACAAATAATCTGCGCCATCTCTTCTAGCATTCTTCTTCCTGTAAGAATATTTCACCTTTCACAGCCGGATATGACTGCTTATGATGCCTTTCACAAATATGACATTTGAACGGGCAAACACGTGCAAAACCTCACTCTCCGCATGAACAGCATGCTGTGGGCGATGCATTCGCGGAACCCTTGAATGTCTGCTTGAGTTGATAGTATCCGGGACGAGATAAAAACATAAGGGCAAACAATTAGTTTAGCAATTAATTGATTATCTTCGATCGTGCATTGAGTTCGAAGATTCCGGAACCCTCCCTTCCTTCACGTGATCGTCAGCGTACGGAGTTTCTGCGCAGAGGATACTTATTTCACCAGTTGACCTCCGATTTCTAGAAGCCGAAGGTCATTGAACCTCTATACATTTGGCGTAGGTCTGGCGTAGTGGTACAGCGTGTTGGCGGCATGTTTGACTAGGTTGGCAGCGGTTTTGTTGACACGTTTTTCGTGGTCAAGGTCGTTGGCATTTTGCTTTTTCTTTGGCTGGGCTAGAATGTTTGCGGAGAAATTTTTGGGTGTTTAATTCGGAATAGCGAGAAAAAGTGAAGATCTAACAATGGCGACGGACAAGCACAAGAAAACTTGTACTGAGAAGTATAAGTGATCCCTCGAAAACTCCATTGTTTATCGAGGGTCGATAAGGCATCTGTTATTGTGGGTTTCTCCGACAGGTTTAAAGTCTCAAATATATGTCGACCCACTGAGCCGAGGTGCAAACAAGAAATCTTGAAATTATCCACCGTTTACAGTGTCACGGATGGATTAAGAACTGGCAGCACAGAAACATAATCTGAAAAACTAATTTTTCTAGCTTCCGAGCAGTCGGCACTTGGGGTAACGGCAGGATCAGTCCAGAACGGCGCAAGAGCAGTAGCATGCAAATACATCGGTAACATGCGACGCCGATTTGTTGTACGACGAAAAATCAGCAGACCAATGCAGCATCGGAATGTATGTATGGGAAACTATCTGCACATATCCCCCCTACAATCAAATCGACAGACGTTAGTATTTCAACCAATCAGATGCAAGAACACATGGTTGGGTCAATGAATATTAGGTAGAAGGGTGAGTAGTATAAGCGAAACAATGGCAAAAACAAAGCAAAGTATTGAAAGACGACAAAATATATATCTAGCACCCCTGCACATCAGGCTTGGTTTGATTAACAATCTCGTCAAAGCCCTCATGCGAGATGGTTTTATGTTCCAGTTTCTGAAACAAGTGTTTGCAAACATCAGTGACGCGAACCTCAAAGAAGGGATACTTATTGAAGTGTTACTTATCGAAACGTTACAAGCCAAAGAAGAATTTCTACGCAAGACCTTAATTTCTAATGGATATCTTGAGAAGATTTTTCAGGTACACAGCAGACCTCCCAGCGTGAAAACACCGGTGTTGACGGCTGAGAAAAAGGATGTTAATTTGTTCTTGCCGTTCAAGGGGGACCATGTGGTAAATGATATCAGACGCAAGCTCCGGTCCGCCCTAACGCGAACCTACACGAAAGCCCAATTGTAACTCTGGCATGCCATTCTAGCACTTGTTCTTCATAATCGTCAGAGCATCTCGTCAGGTATTTCGGTCTCTCGCGTTGTTTATCAGTTCAACTGCGGTTGCGTTGACATTTGCATAGGCAGAACAAACCGACAGTTAGCTCAGAGGTAGCTGAACACTTGCCAAAGTGGTTGGAACAAGTGATTACGCAACTACATTGGACGAATCTGAGAATCAATCGGAGCCCGCCATCGTCTATCAGCAAGCACCTCCTGACAACCCGTCATCACGTGAACTCCGAAACAGCGTTCAAAGTGTTGGTACGCACCCAAAAAACCCGATAATGCTAGCAATTAGTGAGGCGTTGTTACTTAAGGCTTATCAGCCTGTGCTATGTGCACAGGAACTCTTGAGGCAATCAATTCGGTTGCCATGGTCTTGACTATGACATTTTGGTTGGTGGTGCTTATTTTTTCCATGTATATAATCCCCTGTGTGTTTCTGCTCGTATTGTGTTTGCGACTGAAGAGAACAATCGAAAATTTGACATATCGCAAAATCTGTCTTCTCTCTGCCTTAACGAGATACTTATTGAGTCGGATATTCGCCGTATAAGGGCATACAGTGCTTGCGAATGTCATTTAGCTACGTTTGAGTTAGAAGCGTAGGGATCATTCAAGGCAGCGTGTAAAGGATTTTTGGGAAACACAAAGGCAGAGAACTACGAATACTTCACAAAAATGTTCATTACGGGCTATCAGGCTGTTGGCGCTCGAATGTCACTCATGATGCACCTCTTGCATAATCACCTTGAATTTTCACTGGGAACGTGAGATATGTTAGCGACAAGCATGGTGAGGGCTTCCACCAAGACATTTCTCTCATTGTGCTACGCTACAGTGGCAGGTACACGTCCTTTATAATGGGTGACTTTGGCTGATTTCTTCAGCGTGAGGGCGCTGGATCATACAAGCGGCGATCTCGGCGAAGTCATCATTTTCCAGTGCCAAGCTACAGTTATAGTTAGCGGTGAATGGTGCGGTGATGTTTTAAACGTACTTGCCGCAAGGAAGCACTCTGTATATGTTGTGCTTCAGTAGTTATAAATAAAATTCGTACGAAGTAGCCTTCACAGTACGGAAATTAATCCTTTGTTTATAACCATCTAATCCGATGTGCTAGATAACATTGAAATATATTTCTACGATCAGTGTTGTGTATTCACTAAGGTAGGGAGATTCGTATTGCTGTTAAAGAAAATAAAGTTTTTATTGTCGCACGCTATTTTCTATCCACTAGTTGGCTCCGTCTGTTCTGCTTACTCGGTCGATCAGCTGTTATCGTGCCATGCGCCTCCCATTCTGCATCAGTGTCGCGAATACACAAATAGTTTGAACTTTCCGGCATCAAAACGGTGCTTGATTCACAAAGCTGGAAATGGGTTCCTCACTGTCCATCCGGCTTGTGCAATTGTGGTCATGTTGTGCTGGTGCCACTGGTTGCGGTTCCAGCCCAGTGGCTGCGCTTCAGTTTCGCTCGCATAACCTGCCATTTGCAATCGCAGAACGCACCAATGCATTCATCAGCGGTACTCTCCTTTTACTTGGGTAAACGTTTGCATGGGACCAGCCTAGTATCCAACGCGGTAGGTTATACTACTCCATCCACAACAGCTATGGGCTTTTTCAACAGACTTAGGCTAAGGGTACTCTACTTAGCCTTATTCCTTTGCGCATCTGTCCTGTTTGACTAACATATAAGTGCCAGTTAGTCTGTGTACAAAAAGGAAGGTAGCTGTGGAGTATTGAATTGTGTGGTGGAAAAATTGTATCAAAAACAGGTTCTGTTTTCTCGTAAATGGAGAATTGACACCGATGGTGGTCATTGGTTAGTTAAATGATAACGGTCGTAAGTAGGTGAACGTAAAGATACACGTTGTAGCATTACGTCAAGGCAATTAGTCAATCGTATTTCCTTACTAATAAGCCACATTCACTAACTGCTATAACGACTGTATCACGGGACACAATAGGTTGTTTACACTGATAAGCATCTTTTGGTTGCAAATAGTACAGTACTTTATGCAGTTGCCAGTCTGGCTATCTCTTTCTAGCATTCCGTACATGTGAACATGAGAATAGCGCCTGGCGATATATCTCCTTTCACCCTTCACTGTGAGATCGGAAGTAGGACAAGACCGTGCTTGTACCGAAGCTCCCAAATCTGTGTGGCATGTTTCAAATGAGAGGTTGGGAATTTGCGGAAATTAAAACTTTTGGACCCAATCTGTATTGTTCAAAGGATCTATATGCTTATCGCCTATTTTGACACATCTAGGGATAGTGCACAGTGGCTGGGACCATCGTAAACCAATGCCTCAGATTCACATTGTCCATAGTTCATTGGGTATGCTGCTGCCCCAGACATATACACACTGTTTGGTCGATGGCTATTTCACATTCAGCTGCGTCAAACTGGTGCATGCCACTCAATGATTCTCCACCAGCTCCGGTTGTTCACCCAACTTGTTTGACTGACAATTATGATGACATACTGCACACAGAGAATTAAGGATGAAAATATTTCGCATTGAGGGTACGAAAGAGCATTGAAGTAGGCGCTATCACTGTTGTAGAAGAAAGCTATCAAGCTCGCACATGAGCAGGATACCAAACTTTTTGGATTGCGTGGGTTTCATCGCATCATCAGAAATTTGACGCCAGTAAGGTTGAATTCCTAGTGCTAATCCTGCATGGTGCCCAAACATGAAGGAAAAGATGAGCAGCAGTCCGATTGACATCTGCACTTCAGGCATGAGCAGCGCTGAATTCGCACCAATGAATCAAGTTCATTTAGCTTAACGACAGATGCCAATTCTGAGGCAAGAAGTGTCGCGCGTGACAAAACGATATAAGAGACTGTCATTACACGCACCATTCTTTCTAGCAACTGAGTTACTAAGTATTTTCACCATGTCAAATTACTTCAAAATAGTAAGAAAAGACTATATTTCAACAGAATAATCTGCATTCAAGTATTTCGCGTCTTCTCATCAGCATACTGATTCAACTGCTCGTCTGTACACAGCTGATGACGCGCTAGCTGCACCATATGATTGAAAAAGATTACACACAGAGCCCACAGCTCTCCTATTCAGCTGTTCATCCTTAACTACCGATTCGTGTAATGTATCCTTAACGACTGTGCATCGCACCATACAGGCTTTTTCATCTGTAATTAAACCACCAGCTTCAGCAGTACATGAGGCTGACTCGGTCGCCTTTCAAACGATAGCGTTAAGCTACTTACCAGTACTTGCATCTCGTCTAACGAAAGTGATCGACGCTTCTACCATAGAATCGATCGTACCTAGTTCAAAATAGTTGATGCCACATTTTCATACAGATTAATGAAATTCCCGCTAGTTTGGATGACGTTGGTAATACTCATTTTAACTGCGTTATTTTTCGCGGTCCCACAATCCAGTGGACGACCAGAGAAGTTCAACACGACTTTTATCAAGACTACTGTGTATTACAACCCTATAATTTTCGGAGACCGGATTAGTACTAACATAATTTCACTAACCGCAGCACTGCAAAATTCTCAGTCCGAAGATTTAGATGCCATTGTTCGAGGAAACGTTGGTCCAACCGTGAACGCAGACGAAGGTGAATACACTATCAAGTACATTGCATTTCTTGGTTACCCGAAAGGTGAGACAACGGTATGGACAGTGTCCCAATGGGAACAATCTGTGATCATTTCCGATTGCACTCGTTTATTTAATATACGCTTTGCATATAAAGAAGGCTTACCTCATTTAAAAAATGAATGGAATTACCATATGTTCGCTAGATGGAATTATGTACGAACTGCATATACATGTGTGCTAGATATACACACGGTTGGCCTGGCTATAGTTGTGTACATCCCAGAAACTAACACTGGAAATGCAGAATCCACTGAGGTGCAGCTCAAGCGTGTATTTATCAGGAAGTTTGAAGCGCGCCTTGCCAGCACCACCCGCGAAACCAAGGACGGAGCTGATGGGATTACCAGCACTTTGCAAGATACTACACACACTCAGCGGATTGCACTATTGCACATCCTGGGGTGTACTAACGTAACGATTGGGAAGACGGCGGTGATGATCGGTCACAGACCACCAAAGAATGTCACGCTCAGATGTTTCTTCAAAAGTAATCAGACCTCAGCGTATGTGCCGGCCCCAGACAGGTTTATATATGAAATTGGAGAGAATGGCGGAAGCGCATTAGCTTTTCGTCTAGTTAACACGCAATATACAGATACAGGTTTTTACAAGTGCAATATATCTGAAAACTGTGAACAATGTAAGCCGACAGCTGGCCTCCCTCCAAGACACTTGCTAGTCTTACCAGACAAAGATAACGTCCAGATACATCTGAGTATCCAGCCATTTCCGGAGAATATGACATCGTTCGAATCTTTCAGTCAGGTAGCGCCTCATATTGGACAATATATCAAACCCAATCAAGCCGTCTACGTATTGTGCACAGCTGACTTAATTCCATATGGCCGTATGGAATTAACCTGCGAAGCTCACGATTATCATCTTCACAAATACGTCCCTTGGGGTGTCCGTGTGCTGAAAGACTGGAGCGTGAAAGGGGGTAACAGATTACAAAAAATGTACAGCTACTTACTTCAAGCACCCGAGGCAAGCGCAACCATAGACGCTCTTATATTGAACTGTAACATAACGTATCGTCTAGAGTCGGTTCCCACATACTCCCAACTGCCCAGCGAAATGCTGCAGCAGGTCGCCGTTGTCACAGTTAAAATGCATCATGACGTAGCAGCGCAATTGTTCCCATTGCATGTGCGATCCAGTTTGCCCGAACTACTCTCAAACTGGAAGCCAGTAAGTAGCCCACGGGACAGCATGAGTGCCGTACAATTCCACCAATCTGCACCCACCAAAAGGTTGGAAGAAGCGATTGTCTACATCCACCGTTTAGACAGCTTGGGAATGCCGAACGGTCAAACAAAAACACTTGCTCTATATAAAACCGGATTCAAGTTGGAGTTTGATGAGTGCATCTTAACACAAACGACAAACATCGATGCAACTGAGGTACCTGCCGACGTCCAGAGGACGAGAACATTTCACGAAAGTGGTGGGCGCGGTTTTGTCAATGTAACCTTTCTGTGCACGCTACAACCACAGCATGTCGCGCTCATTTTTGTCGTTTACAATATGGAGCTCGGCCTAAAACAACCGGACGCTTTACCGCCAGATGTTTCGGCAGGAATATCTGCAA